CATACTAAGATATACCAGCACACACACACACACACACACACACACACACACAGCAACACAGAAATTTGTATATGCAAGCACATATACATACATATGAAGAACATATACACAGACAGATGAAGACACTTATACTGAACAAACAGGCTGAAAGATACATACAAAACAAGCACCCATACAGAAAGATACTGAAATAGGCAAATTTATGATCGCTTCCAGAAACAAACAGATAGATATACAGAAATATAGAAACATATGTATTCATATAGATGCACAAAACTATATCCCATACAGAGTGAAAAACATCCATTTACATAAATGAATATGTGTTCATGTACTGAAGTGAATCAAAGCACAATTTCTTCTGTAATTACTCTCAGAATTATAAGTGAGGTCCCTACAGCCTGCAGTGGTGGAAGAATCAGTTAAGGACAATTGTGAAAAACATCCCATACAGTGATTACCACATATGTGAAAATTGCTACTTGAGGGCTCATCTCAGCATGGAGGAAACATCAGCAGACTGATGTTTTTGGTATTAAGATGGGGTGATGATATTCATTTGCATTGTAACATAATCATTAATTTTCATTGTTAAATAGTTTCTTCTACTCCATTGCCTTTGCAGTAGGAATTTATACTAACATGTAGATTTATTTCCACAGCAAAAAAATGTTCAGAAATCTTTCTATGTGGTTAATATTTCTTAAAATACTAGATTTGGGCTCATGAGATCCTCTTAAGAACTATGACATTGATGACACCAAATATCATCCAATAGAAGAAACACCACCTTCAAGTAGTTAATGTAATTTTTTTCTTATTATCCTTTGACTGATTATCTTATTCTTGAAGAAGATTCTTATGCATGGCATGGCCACAACATACACAGCATGTTATTCATCATAACTTCCCTCAATAAAGGCCATGTCAAAAGTCAAAAGGCTGTACCATTAGACATTCCAATGAAGAATTGAATGAGCAGTTCTTCAGTGTCTTACATTTAGAAACTGAGCCTTCTAAATTCATCCCCTACACTTGTCAGGTATTCATTTGAATATTTGAGATGGGTTAATGTCTGGACAAAATTTAAAACAAGAACTCTCAGCATGGTGATGTGCAAAAGCTAGCATCCCAATGGATTAGCCAAGTATGAAGTCTCTGTTACATGTAGTAATATCCCACTGTGAGGTGGTCAGGTGGTGGCCCATAGCTCTGTTTACTGAGTAATTCCAACATTCGAAAGCACATAGCCAAAGTACTGTCTGTGTCACCTTAAATAATAACTATATTTGTTCATAATGTTATGATCTAATTATAATACACCTCAGGTCTTGACATATTTAAATAATTTTGACAGGGATAATATTTACAAAGTCAACGCTGACTACATATTTTCCATCAATTGTTAGAGAAATTGAGTACCATCTTCATTGTCTAAGTTGGCCGGCCTAATACAGGTCCAGTGTAAGGGAAACATGATAGGACTAGAGTTAGAGATGTATCTGATAGAGAAAAGAAACTGACCACCATCACTCAGGATAGGATGAAAGGGTCCATAAGTAAGCTAAAGGACCCAGTGAGCAGGGAGCAACAGGAAGCAGCATGCACTTGATGTGGGAGTGTCATATATCAATCTGTTGATTTCATTGGTTAAGTAATAAACAAACTGCTTGGGCTCATAGCTTAGAACATAGGTGGGTGGAGTAAACAGAACAGAATGCTGGGAGGAAGAGGAAGTGAGGTACGATGCCTCAGACAGAGACGCCATGCTCTGCTCTCCCGGGCAGATGCGATTCAGCTCCGACCCAGGATGGATGTAGGCTAGAATCTTCCCAGTAAGCGCACCTTGGGGTGTAACACAGATGATTAGAAATGGGCTAAATTAATATGTGAGAATTAGCCTAGAAGAGGCTAGATAGAAATGGGCCAAGCAGTGTTTAAATGAATACAGTTTGTGTGTAATTATTTCGGGTAAAGCTAGCTGTGCGGGCGCCGGGCGCAGGGGACGCAGCCCGCCGCTCGAACTACTACATGCACTCCTAAGAGTTTATAAACACTGCTCTGCCAAGTGTTCTAGAAAACTCTGTTTCTTGTTACTTCTTTCCCCATCTGTTTCACCAAAGGAAATTCAGAAGCTCCATCATGTCTCTTAATAACACAGTTTGACATATGGTGTGGTGATTATCTTCCTTATACACTTATTAACATTTGAGAATGGTATAAACAAAGACAGATTTTTTTGCAAATCCCCCAAAATGTTCACATGCTTAGATTTTCAGAGGTTCATGACTAAACCAATTATGACAGATGTTGCCCAGTAAGGTCGTCTAAGAACCACAGTACACCTGATCTCATCATTAAGACAGAATTAGGGGGAGATTCATATTTTTTTCAGAAATATGAATGAGACTCTCTAATTGTGACATAATATTAAACTGCCCCTATTGGTAATTCAAATGCTAAAGACATATTTGGTAAAAGATCAGGATTCCTGATGACATCATCAGTGCAAAAAGCTAATTCCAGGACAAACTGCTAGTTTTTATTTAGTGCTCTGTAAAACGGAACAGTATTTATTATGGACAGAGATTTACAGATGATCATTTGTAGCCAGAACAAGGATTATCCTGTACTGCACAGTATTCCCAGCCTCCCTCAATGACTGAAACAAATGTTCTCTGTTGTGTGGTTGAGATGACAGAAGTTGCTGTAAGTTTGAAAATCTTTAAAAGTTCATGAGAATGCATCGCCCATAAATAAGATAAGCCCTTTACAACTTTCAGTGGGAGGGTTGCCCATCTCTGGTTTTTGAGTGCTTGCACAGAAGGTAAATACGAGGGTACAGGGTTTAACAGTAAACGTGACCATATTTTCATTTTGAAATTATTGAACAATAAAAATATACATGCAATATACTAGTCAAGATTATGTTAATTTTTATGAAACAAATTTAAGTGGATAAGGCATCTGAAGAATGGCTGGTAAGTGCACAGTGATGTTTTGGGCAACATTTGGCTCCTGCACTAATATATATTATATTTAGTAGACAACATATTTAACATATTCTTCATGCCAATCATAATGTTAGTCTTTTTCTGGTTTATCTATTTAAGGTACAAACTGCTTTCTAAAAGATATATTTTTAAATAAATGTAAATACCAGGGTCTGCTTGATAAATATATGTATATGTGTGTATTGGCATGAGAAATACTCATATAGGCCAAAAAAGGGCAATGGATTCCATGGTTTTGAATACCAGTTGGATTTAGATGGGACTAGCCTTAAATGTACAGTTATACACCTGCTTCATTTCATGAATGCAGAGAGACTAAGGACATGTATCCTAGTCCTGTTCATCCATTTAATATTTCCACAGCTATGTTCAATAAAATCATTCCTGATACATCTGGCCAACATAAATTTTTTTGTACAGAGCACCTTCTGTCTACATTTCCAGTTACAAACTCTCAACACTGGCATGCAATTGAGAACTGTGTACACATGGAAATTGCAGTGAGATTAGTTTTGTCAGTATGATATGTTTGTAAAATGAAATAATATAAAGTATACAATTTATGAAAAATATTTAAGAATTTTGATAATAAAAATGGTCAACAAATTAGTAAAAATAGAACAAGACCATTTTGTATCTATGTTTAAGGGAAGAATAATAACTACTATATCTTCTTACAAATTATTTATCATCTGGATAATAAGCATCAACTCCAAATATATGCTTTCTTTCTAAAACATTCACTCAGTGTTAAATCCAATAATTTTCCCAATTATTTTTCTATAAATTTTTGAATAAAACAATCTTAAAATATTGTTTATTGTCATGTGTAAACTGTCTTTGAAATTTTCTGTAACACTCAACAGGAATTTGAGATTAGAATTTATGAAATTCAAACACTAACACCTACCCATTAAACATTAAGAAACATCACTAGCTTGAGCTGTTAGAGTGGCCTCGTAGTCTAAAGTACTATGTTTGAAAACAACTATCAGCAGTACATAAAATTGAATTGTGTATAGCACCCTAATTGTTAAAATACATAGATATAATTAGTAAAATTATTAAAGCAGAAGCATAAGAATCAAATGTGGTAGAAGTTTCAGAGAAAAATATGATTAGATATTAATAGAGATACACATACTTCTTAAATAATTGCAAATGGGAGCTAGTAGGTAACAATTCTTAGATGTTGCCAATATTTCATGCCACAGCTGTCCCTCAGGCAAGTGGCAAGGAAAGTAAGCAGTTACCACTATTATTTCATAGCCTCATATTTCATAGAATGCAAATATATCATTTACACTCCATGTATTCCTTCTTTACTCTAAAGAGAGAGTGACGAGCCATACTTTGAAAATAAAAGACAGTGGTTATACATGAGTATAAGTAAAGTATGGAGAAACAGAAACACATATGAACTTCACAGTAGGTAGGACTCCTACTTTTAACCTTGATGCAGCTATAGAAGTCACGGGATGACCACATGCAGAACACCTGGGAGGGTAACTGAATACCTATGTAGAAACTCGCTGGAACTAGTTGTGCCACGAATATTAGTTGCCCTGGCATATGCATTAGAAGCTGCTCTTGGTAGCCAAAGTATCATCACTGACTCTAATCAACAGCAATGTAGTTGTATCTATTTAGCATGTTATTCACTGACTTATGGAGTTTCTTTCTGACTAGCCTGCTGTGGAACCTGTCAAAAGAAGGGATACATGTGATGGACCATGTTATAGAGTCCCCCTTTCACTCAGATACTAGCCTTATCAGCAGCAAGGTGACTGGGAGAATAACAGAACACTGGGCAAATTAAAGGTAGGAAAAATAGCTTTGGGTCCCTAAAAGAATTTGTTGCTGTTTCCTAATGTGCATATTGGAATAACAAGGCAAAGAATTCAAAGCATTGCTCTGATTCTCATGTTCTGATCCCATGTGAAATATTTATGAGGGCATTTACATACAAAATACAAAGGAACTTACTCTATATTCAGAATGTGGTTGAAATAATCTTTCTTCACAGGCCACTCTACTCCTATAAGGAAGAAGATACAACCTGCCACCAAATCTCCATCCTTGTCTTTATTCTGCTTCATTCTCCAAAAGCACCTGGAATGAGTGAATCTAGATACAAGAAGTGGAATGTTCAGGAAAAAGAAGAGGAAAATCAAAGTGAACATCTTTGTCCTACCCAGAGCCTGGGCAGTGTGTATGGTGAAGTACTCTTCAGATCAGCACATTATATGGGTACCCATATTTTCCTACCTGCATTTATTTCTGCAGCCAAAGGAGAGGCTATTTGTGTATTCAATATTCTTTTATTTCCCAGGTGGTTCCTCACCTCTGAAGGAACCTTGGACACTCTCTTCCCTGGGGCTCTGCACCTGATAACTACATGATTTATTCTGGTTAATGAATATAATATGAGGAGAGTTCAGGTAGTTTTATGATATCATTCATAGTTGTGGAAATTAAGGCTCCTTGGAGGATGCCAATTTGAGAAAATTTAGTCCCAGCAATGGATGAACAATCTGTTTATGTCAATGTCTTTTGAAATGATGTCAGTGGATTTTGTTAGATGATCCATTTTGAGACATGCAGTAATGTTTCAGGAAGGACGCACAAAGTCAGAATTTCTATTTGCACATTGGGATTCTGTCATGAGTCCCTGTCAGGGAAAATAGCTCTATGGTTAGAGAAATTGAATTTTATATGCACAGTGGGAACCAATAATACACCAGTACCAGTTATAGAATATTTAACAAAATCCTGTGTTCCCATTGTCTTAAGAGTGAAAAATCAAGCCAAATTCCAAAATACACTGAATCCTCTGTTCTACAACTATCTAGATTATCACAGAACCACTGTCATTTACAGCATTACAAACTCTCTAAATATTCAACATGATCCATAGAGATCATGCATCCTACTTTTCAAAAACTTAATAATATCTCTTACTCCTCCTCCCAACCAATCACTATTAAAAAGAATATGAGGTAAAATTTGATTTCTAAGACATTATATCTCTTCCCAGTCTTAGTTCTCCTAGATCAGTTCTTTGTTTTGACCAATATACTCTGCTTTATCTGTGATTTTCTACAGTGTTTTTTTTTCATTTTAGGTTCCAGTTGTGGCTGTGAAGAAGTCTTGTTGAGAATCTACAAAACAAATAGAAACTGGGAGGTGACCCTGGGTTCAATATATAAATTCTTCTTATACCATTTCCCTATTCATCTATTTTGCTTGCATTCTAGACCACACATTGCCAGGGTGAAAGAATTTTGATGATTGTGAACTGTTGAGCCCCTTTCAGTGAATATGAACTGCAGAGAAAACACAACAAACGCCAGGCCAGTCTTTTTGTACTTTGTAATAAGACTTAGCATTTGAGATGAGGCAAACAGGACTAGTGTTTTCATCTGGAAGTTACTGTACATCTTAAGAACAACATTTTAAAAGTGCTTGACCTCTGTTTTGGTAATTAACTGTCCTGGAGGGATAAGGCATGGACATAGAGAAATGTGACAGGTAGTGTCTTTCATAAGTATACAGAACAGAATAACCTTTTTATTCATGTATGATTTATTTTGCATCCCAACTCAGTTTCACCTCCCTTCTCTTTTCTCATCCTTCTCCCCACTTCCTATCTGCCTCTACCCTCCCCAATAGGCTCCTTCTCTATTTCTATTCAGAAAATGTGAGCCCTCCCATGAATATAAACATGAGATCACATTTCAAGTTGCAGTAAGATTAATCATCTTGTCTTGTATTAAGGATGGTCAAGATGACCCAGTATAAAGAGTAGTATCTCAAAGTCCTGTGAAGGAGTTTGAGAGAGCCCCTTTCCCAGAAAATTAGGAATTGGTCTACCTCAAGACCCAGAGAAATTATATTTTAAGAGTGTAAAGAAATTGCCAGTATTCCAGTTTGAGTATGGTATTCAATTTTGTTTTATGTGTAATAATAATTATTATTTTCATTAATATACAATGAATTTTATTACATCACATTCATACATGTGTGGTATGTTCTTTGGTGCTATTTGCCACTCTGTCAACTACATTTTTTGCTAATATTACTACCAATTCTATTCTTCAATTTAAACAGCTTCTTGCACCTTTTATTATGTGTGTGGGCTTGTTCAAGATATGAGCTAGTGTATACTTTCTTCAAACTAGTTTCACAAGGTTCTACAGCCCAAATTCTTCAGGCACTCAAGTGCCCCAAAATACCTTTCTTACTTTCTTTGATTTAAACTGCATGCACATATGTACACAGACATGCACACATATACACATAATCACACACATACATCCATACATGCTGGAAAACAGTTACATTTAGAGTCTGTGAAAAATCTAAATTCCAGAGTCTGTTCAGTTAACATAATAACCCCAATTCCTGGTAATGACATTGCTTAACTCTTTCATGATCAGGACAACTCCATTATGTGCATATAAATCCTGTGAGGGTTTCATCTTATTTCCTGTATGTCTAAGAAAAATTTGTTCCCAACAATCTTATTTGTTTAATTTTGTTATTGGTTTCAATACTTTATGAATTACATAGTAGCTATTTACCAAGGTTTCTATAAAAATTGGTATATACATTTTGTTAAAAATTACTCTGCATATATCCAAATGTGGTAATTCATTGAATGAAACTTTCAAAATTTGAAGAATGAATTGTAAATTTCAATAATGAATATTTGTAGATTTGAACATAAAACTCCCAAAATTTAGATGATATCTTTTTTTTTTGACAGTGACACAGGTCATCCTTGAATTCCCCAAGAATGCCCCCTTTATTGTGTTCAGGGGCAGATTATATAGCCATGCCCCAGCCAAACCCACTAGAAACCACTCTCCTGCCATCAGGAACTCCTGAAGGTCTTGTGCTCAGAGCAGCTGTAGGCACTCAGATCAGGGGATTACAAGAAATTCAGGATCTGGGGTCTCCCTGCTTCCAACAGCTGGGGACAGTTGCTCTAGCCCTAGTCAATCCCATAGGGGGAGTTCTGGTACTGGTGCCCTCCCTCACCCTGAGAAGAACCAGCTCTCCTGCTGCCCCAAAACCCAAGTCACTTACTGAAGGAGAGTTTGGGCCATGGACCATGGTATACACCACTGTAGGCAGGAGAGCCATTCCTGGGTTTGGTGTCACTGATGTGAGTTTTGCTGCAGAAGTTCCCCACATTAGAAATGGTGACATCTGGAGCTAGAGGGATGGCCCACAGTCAGGAGTCATGTCTCTTGGTAAGGACCTGAGGGAGTTACAGATAGTTGGGAGCTGCCCACCTTTGGTGCAGGGTAACTGAACTAAATGATATCTTTAATTACTCATCTGTTGAGATTCAGCAGAGCTCATTCCGTGTCTTGTATATCCTGAATAATGATGTAATAAAGATATAAATGCAAGTGTCTATTTGCTGTGCTGACTTGTCACTTTAAGAATTGACCATGAGAGGCATGCTTGAACCAAAAGGTACTCCTATATTTACTGACTGAATTAGCCGCATATGCTTACCACAAGGGGGCTTTCAGTTTCTATTCACATTACAAACACAAAATTCATGTGAATTCCCGCAACTCTTACATGCTAATTAATTTATTTGGTCATTTTAAATTATTCATTCTCATTGAAATGTAGTACTTTCATCTTAACTGCAGTTTTCCATATACATATTTCCTCAATGTATTACACTTACAAGTCTTAAATGAATGTCATAAAAACAATTTATACAGAACTAACTGTTAGGACAATAAAATAAGTTATTAAAATTCTCCTAAGCCAAAAATTTCGATAACCAGATAAGTTTTAGCAATTAGTTATTTCACACTTACAAAGTAGAGCTAATACCAGTACTCTTAAACTGTTCTGAAACAGAAAAACAAACAGAACATCAATCAATTTAACTCATGAGCCCTCAATCATCTTGACACTCAAATCCCATTACACCAAAATGACAAAAGAAAATTACTGACTAGTTTATCTTTAAAACATTGATACAAAAATGTTCAATAAAGAATATCCAAATCAAATCCAAGGTCATATGCAAAGTACTATTATGATCAAGTAGAAGTCATCCCAAAAATTCCATGATATTTCAGTGTAAAATACTCAATAAATGTATTACATAAAACTCGAAACAAAAGGATAGCATCATTTTATGAGATGCAGTAAGGTCTTTACCAAAATCCAATACATCTCCATGATAAAAGTCCAGGAGAAATTAGGGATGCAAGGCACATACACCAACAAATCAATATCAGTGTCCAGCAAGCTTATAGCTAAAATCAACTTAAATGAAGAGAAACTCAAATCAATTCCACTAAATTCAGGAACAAGACAAGGTTTTCCAAACTCTACATAACTTTTCAATATAGTGTAGGACAGAGGCCTCTTGTTCATCCCTGCTGCCCAGAACTGAAATAATCACACAGAAACTATATTAAGTAAATCTCTGCTTGACCCATTAGCTCTAGCTTCTAATTGGCTAACTCTTACATATCAAATTAGCCCATTTCTATAAATCAGTGTATCGCCACGTGGCAGTAGCTTACAGGCAAAATTTTGGCTTGTCTGACTCTGGTGGCAGAACCATTGCTTCTCTCTTGACTCTGCCTCCTTTCTCCCAGCATTCAGCTCAATTTTCCCCACCTAGCTCTGTTCCCCTATAGCTCTGCTATAGGCTCAAATCAGTTCCTTCATTTATCAATGGTAATCATAGCACACAGAGGGAAATCCTACATCACCTCCCCTTTTCTGTTTAAATAAAAAGAAAGGTTTTAATATTAATATAGTAAAATTACATATAAAAATAGGTATCAAGCAAGAATTATAGTTCTAATATTCATATGTACTTTATCTTTTATCATAACTAAGGAAAACTATAACTAACAATTTTCAACTCCATCAAAGACTCTAGAAGGATATAATAGAAGGATATAATATTACCTAAGTAAAAAGGAAGTGCATTGTAAGTAACTTCCAAAACTCTAGAATCGATAGAGACACCTTACTACCTGGTGTCACTCAAAGTTCTTTTGTACCATTCATTTTTAGCTTACAGGCCCATAATATCCAGTAGACTTTTTCATGAAGCAGGAAATTTTAAAGACAGGTCCACCTATATTGGTAGTTTGTCAGTAAATTTCTTTTGTATCCTGAAGAATATCTT